TCTTTGCCAGTTTTTCTCACTGCCACTTCAGATAAAAGTAATACTGTTCCTTTTGATTTCTTATTTGCAACTTCAATGCTGTATATTGACACTATAGAAGAACATGATGTCTTTGGAGAGCTATTGACATATTTAACGTACACATGAAATAGGAGAATCTTGATCTCGGCCTTGAACCCTGCATTTTAGATCAGTTTTAAATGACTGAACCAATGTATGGGAAAAGTATCAGTTTATTATTTGCCTTAATAATGCTGAGGATGTGGTGCTTGTGCTTGGACAATCCTTGGAGGCAGTAGAGTGGTCCTAGAGTCGTGGGTAGAGTTGGACACCTAGCACAGACTGCATTGCCTGGGATTTTCTTTGAGCCCTTGAAGAGACTAGGAAAATTATTTTAATTTTCTTTCCATTTAACTCTAATGTATTTTGATAACAGCTGACATATGGAAAGCTGGGGGGAAAAACAGTGTTTTGAAATGTAAGTAGTGTTTCTCAGAAATAGAAACCATGTAGTGATATGACAATAACCGAAGCGGTTTGTATGTCTCTCTTATGATATTATTTATTTTGATTTGACTGCAGTAGAAAACACACATCCACAGACATTTGTCAGCTTTTTAAAATCACCCACTCTAAATCAATGCCATCATTGCTTTATGCTAAAGAACAGCACAATCTAATACTACCACCTGCAGACACTGGCCTGTACCTCAATCCACCTTTCTGTTGAAGCCAGTAAGGAAGAACAGTCTGCAGAGTTAACTAAAAAAGTCTAAAGCAGCTTTTTAATCCATTTTGGGGTTTAATTTGCACATACTTAATCCCACATTTGGTTGGCTCCTTTTATATAGCCTATGTACTGTAATCATACAAAAATGATGTTGTGAGGCACCTTAGGAGGTCTGTAGTCCCACCTCCTGCTCAAAAAGAGACCTAACTTCATAGTCGGAGCATGTTTCTCAGGAACTTGTCTTGAAAATCTCCAAGGATAAAGATTGAAACCACTCCTTTGGAACTCTCTTCTGGCACTTAATCAGTCACAGTGGAAAAAAACTTTCCTTTTCCTCCCGCTGCTGTCCCACTTTAAGCCAAATCAGAGTTTTTCTTGCCCAACTTTACTGTTGCCCCTTGTGCTTTCACTATGTTTTTTATTATTGTGTATTCCTTCGTTTAGATAAAGACATCTTTAATATTTACTAAAGTCTTTCTCTTCCAGGCTAAACAAGCCCTGCTTTCTCATCCTGTTGTGTGCATCTCTCAGGTTTCTCCATCTGTCTTTTACTTGGGCAGGGACACAAAGCTACACACAGTACTGCAGATACAGTCTCTAAAATGCTGGAAATAGAATAATAGTTTCCCTTACCTGACTTGTCAAACTCTTTCAAATGGAGTTGAATGTGAAGTTGATCATGGAGTTGACTGTCACTGTGATTAAGCCATACACTGACTCATGTTCAACTTCTCTACTGGAATAGCCAAGGCTTTTTTTTTGACTGTCTAGCCAGCCAGGCCCCAACCTGTGCTGCAGCATGGATTTATTTTGTCCAAGGCTCACCTCATCTGTCTGTCTTCTACTTTGCAGTCAAAATACTTCTCTAATTTCTTCACCTACCATCTAGCCAAGAAGCCATTAGCCTCCTGTCTTGTATCAGAGAGTGTGTCCAGGAGGATTAGGGAAATGACTATCCCCCTGTACCTGGCACTGCAGAGTCTGCACCTCAAATGCTTTGTTCAGTTCTGGGCCCTCCCAAGAAGAGACACTGAGGTGCTGGAGCGTGTCCACAGAAGGACAACGAAGCTGGTGAAAGATCTAGAGCACAAGTGGCTGAGGGAACTGGAGTTACTTACTCCAGAGAAAAGGAGGCTCAAGGGAGACATTATTGCTCTCTGTTGAAATGGGGTTGTAGTAAGGGGCATCAGTCTCTTCCCTCAAGTAACAAGTGATGGGACAAGAGGAAATCAGACTGTTAATGAGCACCATATCAAGGGAAAGATAGAATTCAAATGCTTTGCACAGATAGCTACATGGTTGAGAAACAGTCTGGAGGTGATAGAAAAGATTAAAAGAAAAGCTATGAAAGAAAAGCAACTAATTTGGAATGGAAGCTACATTCAAAGTCACCATATCCAGTTAAGTCTGACCATGATTCTCCCTGCTTCAGATTCAAGGCTCTACATCAGAAGCAGCATTTACTTAGAAAGAGGGATACATATTTAAAAGAATAGTAAAAAAAGAAGGCAAATGTGTTTAATGTTTGGAATGAATTTTCTGCAGAAGCTGAGAAAGCAGTGGCTTTGTCTGATGGATCCTCTCAAAGGAACTACGGCTCAGGGCAGTATCATACTTGTCTTCATCTTTACAATGAAGCAATCCTCGAAGCAGATAAAGTGCAGAGAATGAACACATAGAAGAAAGGTGTAAGTTTGCCAGTGGAAAAAAAAAGCTCATTCAAAGAGTTGTTTCAAGCAGGTTTTTTGCTTTGTTTTGTTAAACTTCAGCTTGATAGCAGCTTGAGCTCAAAAGCAGTTTAAAAGCTGTGACAGTACAAACCCAGTCATTCTATTGTCCAGCTTATGTCAGCTTATTTTGATTCAACAGAGGCATCGAAGCCAGGCCTGGGTATTGCTATATGTGCTTTGTGGATGCAGTTTAGTGCTTAGCCTTCCTTGACACCGACCAGACTTTAGAGGTTTAAAAAGAACTAGGTATAAGGAAGGAAAAGAGGGCTTTGCGGGGGGGGGGGGGGGGAGGAAAGCCACAACCTTTTGCTTTGCTCTCTGAATCCATATACTTTCTGAGGTGAAAACATGCAGTGTTCATGATGGTACGTTTTGATTTCTGATGAAAAACATCTCCCTCTTGGATTGATCACATGGTGCAAATAAGGCACAGAACTTATTTTTAGGCACAAAGCAAGTGGCTCACAGACACCTCATTTAATGAGTTTCTGTTTATATACTGCAACAGGGACAAGAATCTCAAGTGCAGGGCTGTAAATGAAGAACTTTCCCAGCTGAGGAAGTAATACTGTCACTGTGGTCCCCATATAGGTTAATTCCTAAAACCAAAGCACTGAGGTGTTTTCAGAAGTGGATATCTGCAAGAAGGCAGGCTTTCTAAAGCAGTGTAAGTATCCAAAGCTGCAAGCAACTCCCTGTTCACTTCCCAGCATATGATACAAGATTACTAACTGTTGTTAAAATAATTAACCACTATGTGCCTTGCTTTTGCTACCTTCATGACCTACAACATAGGTTGCATACACAAAGTGACCTGAACCTGGACCCAAACTTACTAGCAAGCTTTCTGTGAAGCAAATTCAGAGCATCATTTAGGAGTCGAGACACTGCTGAGGTCATTCCTCAATCAATGAGGTCTGCAATCAGCTATCATTTTTTGGACCTTACAGCCACATATCCTTTCCAACACAGCTAGCTTTTGGGTCTGATTTAGGAGAAATACTGAATTTAGAATATAGAATCATAGAACAGATAGGGTTAGAAAGGACCTTAAGATCATCCAGTTCCAACCCCCTTGCCATGGGCAGGGACACCTCACACTAGATTATGTCACCCAAGACTGTCCAACCTGACCTTGAACACTGCCAGGGATGGAACATTCACCACTTCTCTGAGCAGCCCATTCCAGTGTCTCACCCCCCTCACAGGAAAGAACTTCTTCCTTATATCCTATCTGAGCTTCCTGTTTCAGTTTGAACCCATCATCCCTTGTCCTATCACTACAGTTCCTGATGAAGAGTCCCTCTCTGGCATCCTTATAAGCCCCCTTCAGATACTGGAAGGCTGCTATGCGGTCTTCATGCAGCCCTCTCTCCTCTGGACTGAACATCCTCAACTTTCTCAGCCTACCTCTATACCAGAGGTGCTCCAGTCATCCCCGTGGTGCTCATCATTCTCATGGCCTCCTCTGGACTTGTTCCAACAGTTCCATGTCCTTTTTATGTTGAGGACACCAGAACTGCATACAATGCTCCAAGTGAGGTCTCATGAGAGTAGAGGGGCAGGATCACCTGCTTCAACCTGCTGGTCATGCTCCTTTTGATGCAGCCCAGTACATGGTCGGTTTCTGGGCTGTGAGTGCACACTGCTGGCTCACGTTAAGTTTCTCATCAACCAACACTCCCAAGTTCTTATAGAGCTATAACCACAGTCTCTTTTGCTATGTCTGGGACTCATGAGAGAAGTCTGTAATTATTTGTAGGCATTTTTTGGCTGTGATTCAGGTTATAACCACTTTCCACAACTTTCAGCTTGCTGTATAGGAGTTGGCAAACCCTCTTTAAACATTTGACACATCAGATGAATGATTGTGAAGTTAAAAAAAAAATAAAAATAAATGTATAGTCCCTGGTTATTTGAAACCAGAGAATAATGAACAGAACTCAAAGAAACAGAAGGTTAGAAAATGCTCACTGGTATCTGATGTTTTATGCATGCAAAACCAGGGGCATAAGTGAATTAATTCATTTTGGCAGCTAGGCAAGGAGCAAAGGAAAGAGCAACTTAGACAGGAGAAGGATGAGCTGTGAAATGAGTAATTTAAAAAAAAAAAAAGAAAAAAGAAATTGTCATGGAAAAGTGTTAATTTTAACAATTAAAAATAGTATAAATGATAATACATTACAGAAGAGTGTCAGTACTGCTACAGAACACTAAAACACCTTTCTGATTAAGGCAGATTATTAAGGCCAAACCCTATAAAGTTAAATAAATAGATCTCCACATTTCATTTCTTTAGGTTGTAGAGATTACATAGGCAATGGTCAACAAAATTTTGCCTGCAGAGTTACCTGTAGAAATTTAACTTTGTCTTCCTGCATATGCATTACAATAGAAACTTAACTGGCATTTCCCCTTGAGCCCTGGTTATATATGCTTTCTTACACAAACAATGTAAGAGCTTCATATTCAGCAGGGAGCATAAAATTATGGATGCAGCCTGTATGACATTCTTCTCAAATGTACCTTAAATTCTATAGGTAATAAACGAAGGGGAGAAAATAAAGCCTCTCTATGTCCCCTGTAGTTGGAATCCATGATCAATGGGAGCTCTCATATCAAATTCAGTAGCACAAAGTTAATCAAGGTCAGTATCCTTTTGGTTTTCTGCAGTGATTAAGGGTCATGTCATACAAAACATATTTCTCCGATTGTTTATGTTTTTCACATCTGATAAGGATTGAAATCACTCATGACTTGCTAGGCTCTCCAGCCTGAGAGAGTTTAAATGGATGCTGTGACTTCAGCTGTAGTTAGAGTTCAGGTTTTGTTACACATACATATTGTGGAGGATTTTCTGCAAGGTACACTGGAGTTGGATTGGATATTGCCAGCGGGCACATTCCCTTGATTTGCCTGTTTTGATCTCCCCTATCTGAAAAACTTCAAAGCCAGTTTGAGGGTTAGAAACAGTTAAGAGAGTTTTCCAGGTGCTTTTTTCTCTACCTGGCCTTTAAGGAAGGTCTCTGTTATGCAGATTTCTCGGGGTGAAAGAATGTGGCTGGTAACTGCATAAGGAACTTATTATTCAGACTTCACAGACAACTGGCAGCAGCACACCAATGGACAGCAGTATAAGTTAACTGGTACTGAGAGGTCTGTGGGAAACCTCGCAGAGTCCTCCAAAGCCGAGAAATGGGTGTGAGTACAGCAGAGAGGGCTGGGAGCTGCAGCACAGCATGCTTGTGGATGGCATGAGAGAAGTTGTAAGGGGAATTACAGCAACCTTCTTTCCACTGCCTGCAGGCGCACTGAGAGAAGACAGAAGCAGCCTTTTCTTGGGATTTCCCAATGAAAAGTCAGGAGGTAAAAGCCACAAGTTTCAGCAATAGAAACTCCAGCGAGATATTAGAAATGTCTTTTCTCCCCCAGTCACAGTCTTTACAGGGGCTAGCAAGGGAGGACTGGAATTGCAGACACTGTAGGTTTTCCAAACTCAGCTGCACAATATCCCAAATGTCCCAATATGATTTATCTTTGATGTAGTCCCTGCTTTGAGCAAAGCTCTGAAGAACAAACCTCCAGAAGTTGCTTCCAGACACAACTCTTGCCCAGTTCTGTGAGTCTGTTTGTATATAATCTCTCTTGGGGAAAGGGAGATCCCTTCTGAAATAAAAAGTGGTAATGCAGAAGCAGTGAACGGCATGGCTTTTAATTATGAGGATGAGCTCAAATGGATTTTGTCAGCTTGGTTCTCAGTAGTAATATATGACACAGTACAAAGGTCAAGAAAACAAAGTTACAGGGATCTGTAAATAATTCTGTGATCTCAAGGGGCTTTCCAAAGTATATATATCTTCTGTTAATAAACCAAGCATTTCTAATTAGTGTAAGTGACCACAAAACTAACCGAAGAGTACAAATTAGAGAAAGCATAGCCTAATTTAATGACTCTAGAAGTTTATTACCTGCCTACACCAAGTCTGACATACGGCAAGTATTGACTGAATTATGTGGATTGAATAAGAAATTGGGTGGTTGTGTGCCAAGTGGAGGAATGAGAGGTGGAAGAGGGTGGAAGAGAGTGGAAGCTTTGGCTTCTGACTCAGCTCACTTACCCCAGTTCTGAAATCCATATGCTTGTTAACTAGGAGTTGGCTACATCCCAACATGAAAAGTGGAGTTTACGTTGTGTGTGTGAACCAGTAATTTGCATTGATTTGCACATGATTTGTGTCTAATTTGCTAATCGTTAAACGCCATGTGATATGTAAATAGGTAGAAAGTGAAAACCCCATGTTTTAAATTCATTCACTTTGACAGTTTAATCTTGTTGGCAGGAGCTGCCTTCTGAGTACATTGAAGTTCATTGTGTACACACAATCTGAGTACATTGAAGTTCACCCGTCAAGAAGGCTTGCAGAAAGGTCTTTCACTTATATTGTTTTCCTTCTATTGTTGTTGTCCAATGGTAGATTGAACTTCTTTAGCAGTGACCTGTGTTTCAGGATTTTTGAGTTACTTAATTGTTCCGCAGCCATTTATATGACTTGTGGTCCATCTGCAGGTGAGACTGACCAGTACAGCTAATTATTACTTTGAGATACCTGACATACAGATGGGATGCAGAGCAGCGTAGGAATAGCAAAAGTAATAATAGCTGCCTGCAAGACACTGAAATATCGGTGTTAATGTGAGCAGGATCAGGTCGAAAACCTGCAAGCAGGCCTTCTAATACTTCAGATAAATGCGTATTGTTTTATTTTGCATAGGTTGAAATGCAAACGGAGGTTCACTGTATTGCAATGTTTAAAAACAATTAAATAGCAACTTGTCTTTTTTGCATTTGATAGTAATCAGAGGTGACTAAAGCACAATGTTTGATATTATCAGTGCCTTAGCTATCTTGGGGGATTTCAGCATGAAGAGAGAGGTGTTATTATCAAAGCTATGACAAAAAAAAAGATGAAGTTTCAAAGACCAAATGGGTTTGACCTCCTGTTAAAGAAGGTCTTGTCAGAAATGCATGCAGTGTAAATACATTTAGTTGACTGTAGGAACGTGTTAAGTTTTCCTGCTGTCCTAAGAGACAAAAATGGTATGTAAATTAAGTTTCATGTGTAGGCTGTTTGGTTGTTTTTTTTTTTTTTCTTAGGAAAACTATTCAGTCAAAAAGCATTTTACCAACGCAACAATTCACAAAGTGTGAGTTGGTGAAGGGGGAACTGGATTATTAAAAAGATTATTAGATTTTCTCCAACTTGCTATGTTAACAAGGCAAGACACAGTGAAGAGAGAGAGGGATGCATTTTCTTTTTTACACTGAAGGATGTCAAGGTGGGACAGGGTTTAAGTGTGTATGCATACTAGAGCCTGGACTTGTTAGACGTCAAAGTTCAGTGATGATGTGTAAGCAGATACGGGACAGGATGCAACGTCAGAAAAACTTCTATTCCATACTGAGAATACTTATCGTTAATATGGGTTTGTACTGAATATGTAGCAGGTAAACACTTCAGATAAAATCAATGTGAAAACAGTCTGAAGAATTAGCATAGACCACAAAGCAGGTTGTTTCCTCTTTCAGTCTGTAGTCAGCTGTAAGTTTTGAGATTTCTCTCCAAAATGCTGATTCAAAGAAGGGTGCAGAATGTATAAGCACCTTACTTTGGGCAAGGTGATTTTCAGGGTCAGCTCACATAGCGTGACTCTTCAGGACTGTCAAGTGACCACATTCCTATAAATGAGACAGAACTGAAACACTTTCCCTTTACTCCCTTTTCCCCTTAATGCAGGGAGTGTCTGTGCTGTCAGCAGTCCCAAGTTGCAGCATAGCCTATTTTGCATCCAAGCTGTGTAAGATTCTGCTTCATATCAGATTTCCCAAATCCAGTCTGTTGGTTCACAGAGCAGCTCTCTTTAGTAGAACTGACTCAGGTCTTCCCACAACCTGTTCCCCAAAGATCATTTGGCCTTCTTCAGCTACCTTTACTTATATTACTGGAATCATAATTCCAGTGCCGTATATGAATAGCTAAGATAAGGTAGTATGTAGTAGAACAATCTTTGGCTAGTTTCTAATTACCATTTAATTTAAATTGCAAAAATATGGATCTAATGAATATGAAACATGGAGGAATAAGCATGAAAGACTAATCGGATGGTCTTGATTCATATTACAATGTTTAACATGCTCCCTATCCATACAATATAGACATTTTCTCCTAAATCTAAATATAGTGATGAATGTTTTTAGCAGGGTTGAAAAAGTTATGGCAAAGGGCCTGCTTTTTTAACATCATTGTGAAAATCAAACTGAATTATTTAAGCCTCCATAATATTTTGTATTCAATTAATTTAAGCCAAAGGGAACTATTTGAGAGTTAGGTGTAGATGCTTCCACAGAAAAAGGGGATAGCTCATTACCATCACTGAGATTTACTTCAATATGCAGCATTTTTTTTGAAATCTTTATTAGACATCTAAAAGTTAATTTAAGCCATTGAAGGCTTTGTTTTGCAAATGACAGAGAATCTACTTTGCATAACAAACTTAAATATCCAATTCTACTTGAAATTAAGAAAGCTGAGAGGACGCATCTTAAAATCCTTTCTTATTCATAACACATCATTTCTTAATTATAGTCAACACAGGTTTTCTTATGCAAGGCAAAAGTTGTCACTGAAGAATATGATTTGCTAAATTTATCTGCATGGGGGGAAAGGATTATTGTTTTCTTATGAATACATCAGTATTTTTTACCCTCTCCTCTTCAATGTACCACTTTCTGTGTACCTGAAGTAATCAGTTTTTACAGCACAAGATGGAAATATACAGGTCAGTCTTCATGAGGAGAAAGTATCTCCAAAGCAATTTGTGCTCTTCTGTGCTCAGTTTATGTAATTTTCTGTTTAAGGCCGTATATCTGTTTTTCAAAAAGAACAGTTATTTTTGAAAACTCCTTCCTGGCCCAATTAGTTTATGTATCTTTTATTTTTTAACCAAAGCACTGCATTAGGAAGAAAGTGATCTCAGTTTGCTTATCACCCATGGTGGTAATGCTGCTCCCTTCAAAATTACTATTGTAAATGTGACTGCAGAGTGATTGCTAGTGGAAAAAACCCAATTGGCCAGACTAGTAGAAGGCTGGAAATGCAGAACCAGACAACAACTTTGATATTGTTACTTTTGAAGCTGCCAGTGATTAACTCAATTCTTTCTCACTATAATAAAGAATGGTCAATTAACTTCACAGTACAGTTGTTACCCACAATGTCAAATGGAATAGGATGGTGAAGAAATTTGAATGTACAGCATTGCTTTGGTTGCTGGGATGTGTTTGTGTGTGTATCATCTTTTTCTGAAAGCCAAATATGTTGTGAGTTAGAAGCTCTATATGTATCAATGTCCTCTAACATTATTTCAGATTTTTTCAATTCTATGCATTTGGACTGCCTAGAGGCGCAGTGCTGAGGTCATCTGAAATGCAAGCTCAGTAGTTTCATTTTGTGTATAAACTGAAAGAAAATGGGCTTTCAAATACAAATGGAAAATCACCAGTTGTGATTTATTCTAAGGGGAATACAGTTACCTACATATGTTTAACAGTTACAGTTACCCAATTGCATTTATTCCTGTGACTTGTATTTATTACTTGTATTTATTCTGTGACTTAAAAACTTCTAGGCAGAGTGGTAAAAAAGACATGACTTGCTGAGTAATTATTCTGAAATGTCTTCAGATTGTGGGAACCAACAGCTGATTTGAAGGAAAAAAAACCACCAAAACCCCTTCTAAGTCAAATTTGAGACCTAGAGGGTACAGGAATTTCATTAAACACGGTAGAATTTATGTGCAAAAATCATTCTTGTCATGTTAAAGGTCTAAAGAAAGCTTAGCATGTTTTGAAAGGAGTCAAAGACAAGTCGTACATTCACCTGTTTACAAATGGAATTGCAAACATGAGCATCAAGCTAAGGTTTGAAAAACTGAGGCTGTGTAATCTTCTAATTTCAATGTTTCTTTAACCACAATCATGTTGGATGGCAATGTGTACCCCATTCATTATTCTAGTCTGTAAACTAGGCAGTCATGGGATCATGATGCTTCAGATGAGACTTCTAAAAAGCTCCATCCATGGGGTTGTTTAAAAGATGTCTAGATGCACTAAGACACATGGCTTAGAGGTAGACTTGGCAGTGCTGAGTTAATGGTTGGACTTGATCTTAAAAGGTCTTTTCCAACCTAAATGATTCTGTAATTCTATAAGTCCTCAGACTGAAAAACAATAAGAGTAATTATGTGTGATAGATTACAAACAAGAGGTTTTAAAGTGGACTCTACTTAGCTAATGAACATTGGTCAATACATATCAATGGACCTAATACTGCACCAGTAAATTCATAAGTAGCATTTATATTCATTGGGGTGCAACATCAGTCTTTTGAGTCTGAGGTCAGTTTGAATCTTGCCAGCAATGCCTTATGAGTCTAATGGTCTTTTTTGTATTTGACTGCCTTGTGCCTTGCAGCCATTCAATACTGGACTTTTTAATTGATTTAATAGTATTTTGATAGTCTTATAATGCAAATGCTGACCTTGTTAAGGGAAGGCTTTTTCTTTTTAACTTTTTTTTTTGTGTAATTGTTAGCATAGCAATTAATAGAATCCAAAATTAGTCACTCCTGAAAGTAATTCTGTGCTAATTATGCAATTATTTTATTTTATATAGGCAGCAGAAAAATTGTGAAGTACTTCGATTATAGTTTCTTCAAAAAAAATCAAGTAAACTGCTACTTGACTTAGTCATTTATGAAATAATTAGTCACTTGACATTTTAAGACTTCAGGTATTTTTATGGTACTGTTATTGTGTATCTAACAAATCTGATTTTCTTTATCTGGCTTTTTGTTCCAATTTTAGATATTTGACATGGGTTTATCTTGCATGTTTGTCTGAAATTAGCAGATTATGTGTTTATATTAATTATTAGCTGGTCATTATATACCTACCTATATCATATATAGGTATGACTCCTACCACTGTTGCTTGAGTTTGAAATAAATCTTTTAAGAGTAAGATTTGAAGAAGGGAGCTAGAAAAAAATTGTGTGTAAATGAGGCTGATCAGCTCAAGTTCTTTGTGTATCTGATTCCCTATTTTCTCCTTATGCATTTTGAATCAGTTAGCCATTGTTGCTCCATTTGTCAGAAGTGGTACATCTCCAGACAGATAAAGGTTGGAATGTTTTGTGAACGTTCTGTCTGAATAGGCAAACAACCCAAACTAGTGCTTCCAGTCAAAGAAGAACTACATAAACTCAGTCTATTCTGTTTGGTCAGCCAGTGCCACAATCAGTACACACTTACTGCTTGCTTATTGATCAATAAGTAGCTTAAAACCAGGTACAGCTCCCCAGGAATAGTCAATATCCATGACAAGGCAGATGGAGCACTGCAGTGCCTTGTCCTATACTGACCATTGTGACAAGGAAAAGGTTTTGGGAGCAGATGACGAGGGAAAGCAGTAGGAAACAAGACTCAGATCCACAGGAAAGTGGGTTTCCTTAGTTCAGCTACTTATGAGTTATTTTAATTCTCCTCTAAAAGATGTCTCTACAGTGCTTTAGCTCCATAACAATCGCGTTCAAGATGGTATCTGCTGTGCTCAGAGGGAAACTCATTTGTGTACAGGAAACAAATAGCGTCAATCAAATAGCATTTATGACCTTTTCTGCATAATACTAAAATAATGAAGTTCTGATTTACTGTTACTCAGACTTCACTGGTAATTAGGAACTCGAATTTGAAGCCTGATTATTGTAAACAATACAGGAAGGCATTCATAGAAGACTTACAAAATAATGTTATGTTGTATGGGAATGTAAGGCAGAGAGGGTTAAGTTATAAAATTGAGGTTTTAAGTGCTTGTTGACTTTAGCACTTTGTAAGTTTTTATCAGTGTTAAAAATCAAGCGACATTAAGGAGCTCACGTTTACTAACAAATATTTTGCCAAAGCCATTGTAGAGCCGGGATAGACAAGCAGGATTGAAACTCCAGCCCATCTTTATAAGAAGGCTGTCCGTCTTCTTTCTTCCCAGAGGAAGGCTTTCTGATCACTGTCTTGAGATGTGGTTAGTTGCTTTCTACTATTTGCTCTTTCAGAAGTTTTAGCACAGAAAGTTTTATGCCTTTCTTATCAGTAAATGTGTAGCTGGGAATAAGGAGGAGATGTTCCTAGTCCTTGATCTCATCTAGCAGCTGTGGGTCTAGATAGGGCTCCCTGAGGAGCCGTCTTCCCGTAACTTGGGATTACTTCTTGCTATTTCTTAAAAGAGGTGGTGGTAGGTAAGTGTACGTTTCTCTTCTAAGCTTTAAGTTAAAAGAAATAGACTATAGGGATTGGATCTTTATCATGCCCTTCTGCTACACGAAGAGTTATGGAATAACTGTAGGGAGTCTGATACTGCTAAATACAAAAATATTCTCTGCTATCTATCAGCTCCCTTATTCTGCGTTTACCTCACTAACTCATCCTGCTGTGATTGACTGGCAGATGGAGACCACAGCATTGCCAATTTACGTTTGCAATAAATAGAGCACTTAGATTTCCAATGATGTTATTAACATACATTTAATAAACAGCAAAGTTAACTTTCAGCTGACATTTATGACTATGTACTGAAGCAGAAACACTTAAAATGTGATTACATAGAACTCTTCCTGGATGCAGCTGTACCTTGATGGGGGTGGATTATGACTAGGATGTGCCTGGTCATGAAAGCACAAGGAGAAAATAGAAGAAAAGAACTGTCAATGAGAGGAACTCATTTTCCTGTATTTCAGAGTGGGGATTCTATTGCTTTGAACTCTAACAGGCTGTCCCAAATTCAAACCTCTAGCTAGGCCGAGTCTATGAAACCACAAACACAGGCTGAAGGCTGTGCTTGATCAAGAAAAGTGAAAGACCTGTGAAGACTTAAGAAGAAGACACAAGGTACACGCAAGAAATGTTCCCTGAAGCTCTGCAGTGTAAAGTGTAGATTTACTTCAACATAGGGGGAATGGAGGTTGAGGGGGAAGAACAAAAGGAAAGCTGACAGGCAGAAGAACAAAGGAGGCATGCATCCTGTGATGCAAGTTGCAGAAGCTCTGAGGAAAAAAGGCGTATTGGGTTTGCATGGTAAGATTTTAGTAGTGGGGGGGCTGCAGCGGTGGCTTCTGTGAGAAGCTGACAGAAGCTTCCCTCATGTCCAGTTGAAGAGCTGGGCACTATTTTCTTCATTACTACCCATCAAGTGTTTATACATGTTGATAAGTTACCCCTGAGCCTTCTCTTCTCCAGGCTGAGCAGCCCAAGTGATCTCAGTTTTTTCTCATACAACAGACAGTCTAATTCTTTAATCATCATTGTTCCCTTTGCTGGGCTCACTCCAGCATGTCCATGAGCCTCCCTATGAGGAGTAAAAGGGAAAAGATCAAATATCTGATTGTTGCTGTCTCCCATCTGTGTTTTCAGGCTTTTTGCATTTCTGGGAAGACAATTTCTGTTCTCTTTATTTCATGTTTTTCCATTGCTTTTTCTTTTGAAAGCATAAGGAGAAAAATATCGATTGGATGAAAGCAGCCATGGAAAGAAGGACACTGTGGGAGGAGAAGCTTTGCATCAGTTTAAGAATGAAAGAGCTTATTTTTGTAGCAGAAGGAGGATTTCAAGGTTGAAAATGTTTGGGGAGTTTAAATTTAAACTTTTAGTTATTCTGCAGTTAAAAAATAACCACCAACAACACAAAAAACAATGGGGAAGGACAATGGAAAGAAAAGACCAAACACTTAAGAATGTGAAATTTCTTTTTTTAGGAAGTGTAAGAATAAAGTTTAAAAATCAAGAAAGTAATCTAAAGGAGAAGAAAAACAAGCAAATTTTGTGGCATGTGTTTTAAAGACTGTTTCCTCTTTACAGCACTAAATACTTAGAGTTGGAGTGAGTATCTGAAGTTATTTTGAAGTCTGTTGTGAATTACTCCATCTTGAATAAGGACTCAAACAATGGAAGGATGTATGTTGGAAATATGAAAATGATATTCAATAATAAATACACTTTAATGCAAATAGATTTTAATGTTAATTCCTGCTAGTATTTTGCCTATGTACAATTTTTAGTACTGGGTAGACCAGGTTTTAAATCATGTAACATTGGAAATAAGTAACTAAATAGGTCTGGTTCTCTTCTTGTTTAATTATTTAGGCATGAAATCAAACATGTCACTTGCCCTTGTTGTTAAACTATATGGCCTTTGTCTACTATTAGACTTTTCTGCAAATATATCCCTAGAATCCTTTGGGTTTTGTGTCTTCTTATTAGCAGTAAGTAGAAGGTTAAAGTTAAATTAAAGTTAAGTGCCTTCTTAGGTTTCACAGTTTGAAAATATGAAAACGGTAGCAAAGGACAGGGAAAGGAAGGCAAAACTGCTCTTTGACACAATAGGAGCCTAATATTAAACATATTGAAAGAAAAGTTAGAGAATGCCATCATGATATGTCTCATTTTTTGTTAGGAAGTTATATGCTTACTTTCAGAGTAAGAGTTTTTGAGAGGTCCAAAGATTTGGCCATCTGAGTAAGAAAGATGCATGATACAACTATTGACACATTTTCTCCTTTGAAGAAGTTGGCAATAAGCTTACCTTTGCTGAATGTTCATCTAGTTTCCCAGCTGCAAGGTCATCTTTCATCTCAAGAAGAAAGAAATTGTCTCTTTCCATAGAGTGGGGGGGGGGGAAAGACATTCAAAGGTGTGAGGGAAAAGAAGCTCCTTTTTTTGTACAAAATGCAGGGTTTTCTCCCATGATCAGCTGACCTCTGAGCTTTTATTTTTCCAGTGTGTTTTTAAATTAAAATATGGAGATTTAAGATTCATTGTAATATATGCGCTTGTACCTTCAGTGAAAGAGAAGACAGGGTCTTGTCCTTAGAAATTATTCTCTCCCAAGAGCTAAAAAAGACCCTATCCTTTCCTGATGAACAAAAAACTTTAAGTTGTATGTCTGTTCTGCTGAGTACTTCTGACTTCTTTAGTTTGGTCTCTTAATCTGTTTTTTACTGAATATCGATTACTATTCACTGCTCTTCTGGAAGTACTGTACCAAAGATTATCTTTTAATAGACTCCAAGCATGAGTGGCTTAGTAAAAGTCACTCATCTTATTAGAGGTTTATATTCTTACAGTAGATTCCTCTTGTGTAACACATAGGTTAGTCCTACAGACAGGTATATCTACATAGTTTATCTTTTTAGGTAGCTGCTTGCAACTACATTGAAACCATCACAATATTTAAATAGGAGATATGGATAATAGCTTCACGTTTGCATTTTGTTTCAAATTTTACATCAAGATTTTATTAAGATAATTTCTATCAGTACAGTTTTGGAAAAAAATTGTATGCAATTCTTGCTTGAAATCTTCTGGGAAGGGATATTTTTCAGAATAAAGAGGGGTAGTAGGCAGTGGAAAATTAATTAAGTGGATTCAACTAACTAATCAGGTAGACTGATGTGTGATTAAAGAGATAGTGTCTAGTAAAGCATTTTAATTACCACAAAGTATTTATTTAATCCCAGATAAATCTAATTAATTTTAGCTTACTCCAGTCTCTGATGTCATATTTCATCTTTGTGTTAGTATCTGTATAATGAGCAGTACTAGTCCAGTGACTGAAAAGGTCTTAACATCTCCAAATCAAATGACCGGAGAGAAATATTTGAATTGGGGGCGAAGAGCAAAACCCATGAGAGCACCAAGTTGCTTGATATGCATTTTGATGCCTAAGTCTGATTGTGATCCTCAAAACTCATAACCAAATTACTAAGGTTTATCTGTGTGGCTTAGTGCAGTGTTGAAGGGAGATGCCGAACTAATGCCAGCACTAGAACCAGTATATGTGATAGGTTAGCATTCATCCTTGTCTGATGAACTTTTTGGGAGAAGGGTTAAACAACCTGGGTCGGTCTATGCAGCAGTGCACTGTGCCATGTCCATAGCTGTACTTGAGTATGCCCAGTACCGGTACCTCTTGCTAGGGCTGAAGATCTTAAAGCTTGAGCCTCTGTGGTATTCCTTTTACCTAGATCTGCTGTAGGATCTGACCTTTTCCCTCTGGGCCTGTCCAATACACTGCTGGAGGGAGCACCTAGCCCGTTTTGCAACTTCAGCACAATTCAACTTAAAAAGACTGTAAAAGCTAAATGCGGGTAAAGCTGAGCAGTGTCACTGTGCAAAAGTGGCTTTAAGATTCTTTGGGGGATCAAAGTATGAACTTGCTTTTCTACTGGGAACAGGGAGAAAACCTAAAGTCAAACTCTTTTTTCCAGGAATGTTTTTCTCTGAGAAAAAAAAAGTCATTGCTGGACTTCCTGTAGGGTGATTTAGTGCAAAGATGTTTCACTCTGGCTCCCAGATGGTTTTGGAAACGTTGCTGTACAAACAGGAAGGTTTGGCTTCATGAGCTGTGACCTTTCCATCTCTGATCTCCCAAAACCCCAGGAAGAAGCAGTCCCCACTGGGAAAAGTTGGTTGTCATTGTGGGACAGCGTTTCTGAAAACATCATATAGATTGTAGGTCTCCAGTTTGCCACGTGGGCACTTGAGTCCCAGAGCCAGACAAATTTATACATGTCAGTTGTCATATCTGTCTCTCTGCCCAACCTGGAAGCTATTAAAAATCCTATAGAGAGGCAATTTATAATTAGGAGACAGTGGGAGTGTGATAGAGCATCTGCATGAGTACCAGTCTGAGTAAGTATTCTGCATGTCTTGGTGTGCATTAGCCTTTACGTTGCTCTTATTCCCATTTAGAGCAGCTGTGAGGATTTCCTGCCTTGGTTTGAAATATGTGGAAGGCTGTTAGTCTTAACAGAGCAAGAGCTGCAGCAATGTGACAACTGTGTTACCAAAAAGCTTCATAACACCAGCTGCCATAATTAGTAAATCTGATAGGGAAGAGAAAAGCAGCCGTGTACCTACCAGAACGTTTGGACATGTATGTTAAACAAGCTTGCTCCATGTGTGTGGTGTATGATATCTTTGGTGAGGATTTCTGTTTTACAAATCCCAGGAGCAGTACGGGTATTTTGCCCTGATTTACAATTGCATAAGCTACAAAGATCCCAAATGCCTGTGCAATGATACCTCAGCTGAAACACTGTGGAGGATGTTAAGTCTTATTAAATTGATTTAGTTTTGCCTATAGGCCTTTTGTTGAGTAGGAGATTGAATTCCAGTGACAATACAACTGTATAGCAATAATCCCCCAATGCAACGCAACTGTCTCAAAAGCCTTTTGGGAATAGGTTATTAAGAAATAAGAATATATATTTTTCTTGGGGAGGAGTAAAATACAGTTTACCTGCTTGAATACCCAACTGCTTAAAGAAAAAAAAAAAAGAAACACCAAGGGGTTTTCAGAATACATGCAGAATCCTAAACTGATTTGCTCAAAGAAATAGCAGTTACTCTTCCTTCTTACAGCCCTCTTCCCCCATAGAATGGAAGCAAACAGTGGAGAGGAATATCCTCATCTTTAATTTGAACTTTATAAAGCCCTGACAGATCCATCTGCTTCATTCTTTGTAGGAAAAAAACACACACTAATAATTCTGACTTCACTTCATTAATCATTGAAAACCAAATTATCTCAATTCTACCACATCAGAGAGTATACTACACAAAAGATTTCTTCATGTACCATCTTGCCTTTAGTTAGTATTCCTGTCTTCTGTGGAATTGCACCAATTGTGAATTTTCTCCTTCACCAGTTTTGGTTCTGTTTCTTCATTTGTCATTTCACTTTATTTACTTTGTTTATTGGATTGGAGGGAGAGGAAGAGGGGGCTGGGTTTTTACACTTCCAGTATAAATCCGAATGCCTTTTAACAGACAGCTTTTATTACGGCTCTCTATTAAAATAAGACAAATGGCACCTGCATGAAATATGCTCATTGCATGAAGAACCATCCTTTGCTCTTAATTTTTTTTTTTTTAAACCTCCAATTTTGATGCCAACTTTCTCAAGCATTATTGAACTCAAAATATAACAAAAATAGTGATGTGGGAGTGTATCTGATATGGGCATTTAGAACGCAACTAAACAGATCAAACTGAGGTTCTCGCTATGCTCTACTCTGGAAACACCAGGGTAAGGAAGTAAACAATTGCGTACTATTGATTTGATTTCAGATTTGGGAATTTCTCAGTGTGGAGATGAACCATAAATATGTTTTGGTTTTGTTTGTAATTTTCTGGTTGGGAAAGAGGATATCACAGTAAGGAAACAAAGCACATGGCCTCTTACCTGCTAAGACTATTGCAAAGTGATACAGCCCTACCATATGAGAGGAAAAAGAATGTGCTTCCAGACTTCATTGCTCATGTTTTTTCACATGGATCACAGCATTTATGCTAGAGCTGATTGAAAACTGCAAGTAATATTCACAAATATTATTGTCTGAAATCATCATTACCACAACCTCCCATCCTTACACCCTGGATAATGTTTGTCTTACCCACACAATTTACTTCAAAGGCTCCTGTAAGATGTTCTCCTTACCTCATTGCTCTGATCATATTGCCTATTTTTCCCACATGCCTATAAACCCTCCTTTTCCATGTCAAACATAATCTCTTTGTTTGTTTAATGGTTCTTTCTAATTTAATTTCTATTGAGCTTCTTATTTTTTTTTTTTAATATGGTCATAAGTAGTAATTCTAGTCTAATTATTGTTCCTATTTCTTCTTTTTCACTTCTTATGCACAGACAATTTACAAACAGGAAAGCCAAATGAGCAGGGAAAATGTACTCAGCTCTAAATAACCTCCAAGCTAATCCACAT